TGGTTTTCTTCTGCCCTTCTTTATATACGACGTCCCCCTGGTTCCCAAGATGCAGCCTCTTACATGAAGTTCTTAAGTTATCACCACTCTGTTTCATATACTAATATCTATATTCCTTGATTTTAAAATGTAGACAGTATTTACTTTTTTCTTGGAAAGATGAAGAAAAATTGGCATTCTAATAGCTTCTCATTTCTCCTCCATTTTGATTTACACACACATATACGTACGCACACACACACACACTTCAACATTGCTCAAGTTTATAATAGTCACACTCTCTTTAACTATAGTAACTTAATATTATATAATATATAAACATATTTATACTGTTTTAAACACATAAATGCTATTATCTATGGAACTGTTTAGCTGTGTGAGCAGTCACAGAGGAGGGTATATAACCCTGCATTACTAAATCCCTGTGGCCTAAAGGAGAACGACACAAATGTCAGTAACTAATAAGAGAGTCTCTTAATTAAGTTTAGCCTTTTCATTTACTCCTCTGGGTAATTTATTAAAATTTTGTTGCTGGTTCCTTTTCTTATGTTTAGCACAAAAGAAATTTCCATCCAATTTCAGTTGGTGCTTGGATAGATGTATTTGCTTGCCTTGCCGTCTTGTACCAGCATGGTTGGAAATGTTAAACATGAATTAGGAATTTAAAATCCTTAGCTTTGGGCTTACTCATATTTTTGGTATTTGGCATAAAAATTGCTGGATGAAGCTGTTTCAGACAACTGACATCTTACATATCCTACTAGTATTGGAAGTAACTACTATTTTTTCCTCCTATTTCAGGATTTCATAAAATAGAATATAGCTCTGTCAAGAAATTCTGCTCAGAGATATCCTCAGGTTTGAAAGAAACTTGAAGAAGGAGGCTCTGCCCATTTTAACTCTTATAGTCTTAAAAAGCATTAAAAAAAAAAATTGGGGGTAAACCGAATTTGCTTTGGCTCATTTAGAACTAATTGCTACTACCATTTCCTTGTAGGCCACATGTTGTTTTTGTTCCTTACAACCTCCTGTTTGGATATGCCCGTGGCATGTAGAAATAATATGGGCCTGTCACTTAATTGTCATTTACTTAGTGTGGGAAGCGGTACAGCTTTTCAGAGTGGCTGCTGTGGGTTTTCCTCACTGTTCTCTTAGGGAACACTGAAAGGGCAAAGAACTTTAAGGTCTTTGTCTCAAATGCTTGTCTAGTCCATAATAGTCTACTCGCAGTGTATGGGTAATGTCCTTAAGTAAGCTCTTTGGAAGAATGAGACCATTGTGAACTCTACCTGCTGTTGATTTTATCATGAGCTTATTATAAATGTCTCTAACATTGGTTTTCACCTGAACACAAACAGAAGTATAGGTGGAGGAAGTTATTTTTTTTCCTTTTTCTTTTTAACAGCTGTTTACCTTGCTTTATTCTTCTGAAAGTTGCAGCATTTAGATAAATGTTCCATTAGAAACAGTGCTTAGTGATGCTGATGTCTATATAGTTCAGAATTTTTATGAATTTTTTCTTTCATAATCAGCCAACACAAGAAACGAATTTTTCACCCTTTTATTAATAAAGGTACATTATTATCTTTAATGTAATAAAAATGGAGCAGCTTCTGAAACTGGGCAGTTTTATCTTGAATATGCTTTGTGTGTTTGTACCATTCTCCAAAGGTGCTGTTAACTGGTCATTATATTCTATACTTACAGAAGGTTGATGTCCGGAAATGTGCAATTTTGAGATATGTATTTACAAACACTTCAGAGTGTCTTTGACTACAAGGAATTCTGCAGGCTGTTTAGACACTTTATAGTGACTTTAAAAAATACAATGCTTTTAACTTTTTCAATATAAACCCTGTTTCAATATAAAACAGGCTTATATATAAGCCTGATAAGTGAAATGAATTTGATAAGAAAGCAGATCTTTCTCTTTTGTTGAGGAATGCTTAAAACCATAATATAAGAACTTTGTCCTAATAGGGTGTGATTTTAAAATTTCTAATACTATTTTACTCTTAAATTATTTCACATCATTAATGTATTATTATCTGGAAGGAGGTATTAACTATCAAGAAATTCTAGATTTTAAATGATCAATCACATATTCTTTACCTGAACATGACAAAGAAAATAATTTAACCTCTTATACTTTGAGATTCACCAGGCCACTCAAAAGTTTTCAAATGTCAGAAAAGAAATTTTGTACATAATTCTCTAGAACCCACAAGTAATAGAGTAGATATAGGATTTACTCACATTATGTTACTAGCATGTGATTAACCTAAAAAACATGGCACATCAATCAGTAATTCACAAAAAACTAATGCATCCACTTGACAAGTATTATTGGTAACCTGGTTTGTCAAGTACTATTCTAACATTGACTTTTAAAAACGATTTCCTTTAAATTATTCTGCTTTGAAAGTTAATTACCAAATATTATATTTGTCACTTTGGAAGGAGTTAATTACCTTAAGTGACAATTTCTAAACTGTTGGGAGGGTTCAATTCAATATTTAGGTAAGAAGCCCCCTAGCCATAATCATGTGGCACACAGTTAAAGGCTTATAAAATAAAAGTAATGTGTATAATTTTTATGATGGAAATAAGCAGTTAAAAAGAATTTATATAAATAAGAAATGTTGCCATTCTGAGATTTCTAAATATCTGAAATTTCTAAGTATTTTGGTGACTGAAATTTTTGAGAACCGTTTTGATTCATTGTGGTTAAATATATTGCTTATAATGTTGCATATTTTCTCTACACTTATATATTTTATGTGTCTTGTTTTGTATATATGAAACTTGCTTGTGAGAGTTGACCTTATTTTCAGTTTTGTTATTCGGAGAATTTTAAGAGTAAGGTTTTTAATACAAACACTGAAACCTGAATTATACACATTAAGTTTCATTGTAACTTGCTTTTTGATCTTTTACACGTATGATATTTTCATGTTAGCACTTCAGTCTTTTAAAGTCGAATTCACATTACATTTATAGAGATTGAGTCAGTTATGGTTTCTCATTTTTTATTTCTTCCATTATTAGTTTTTCATTCCTGCAGTTCACACTGACATCAGAGACTATCGACTAGGGACAGGTAAAGGCCTTTCACAATTCAAGAACAGGGACAGCATTTTGATGCTGGTTTAATTCTTAATTCTTCCTAACCCCCTACACTAGTTCCACAATTAATTATGATTAAGTATTCCTCCGAAGTATATCTCCAGTCTATCCACTTCTGTCTGACTCCACTACCATTGCTCTGGTTCAGGCTGCCACCATCTCTTGCTGTTCTCTCGCTCTCTGAGCCATTCTTCACACAGTTGACGTAGGTATTTTCTTAAATGAAACTAGATCATTCTGCTCCCTTGCTCAGAACCCACTCAAGATTTCCTTTTGTACTTAACATAAAATTTAAAACATTTTTTGGGGGTTTACAAAGTTGGGCATATGCTGATTTGTGTCAGACCTGCCAGCTTCACTCTTCACCAGCGCTGTTCTCTGTCCCGAATGCCCCATCCCCACCCTTTACTTGGCTAACTCTACTCGTCCTTCCGGTTTCAGCTTAAAACTCCATTTTTCAAGGAGGCCTTTACTGAGCCTCATCTTAAGATGTATTGCTCCTTCTTGGCATGGTCAAGGAAGTCCCCTCATTGGAGGTGACTGGCGTTAGGGCTGATCCTAAGTGATGGAGGGAGCGACCACATGAAGAGCTACAGAAGGAACAGCGGGTACAAAGCGTGAGGCTGAAGCTGCCTTGAAAGCACGTGAGACTCAACTTGCTAACGCATTTGGACAAGAGAGTCTCTACACAGAGTCAAATAATTCAAAGATTTTCTAATCAACTGAGGCATGCTTTCAAGAAGCAAATCCCTAGAAGTCATTGATTCTCATTTAGATTCCTAGACAGGTTTCAAAAGTACTTGTGATAGCTCTGGCGTGGCTTAGCAGTGTATTCATTGGGGCTCAGTGACTCATATACTGGGTGCCCCATACTGTTCCGCTTGAGCAAGAAGCGTCATAGAGTACAAAAAACTTCAGTCACATCATCAGTGAGAATTGGGCCCAAATCTGGCTCTGTGACATGTTGGCTGTCAAACTTGGGCAACATTTTCCTTTGCTCTGAGCCAGCCTCTAACCTGGTGGGCTGTGGTGGTGATTAAATGATGGACAATATTATAAGGCAGCTAGCACAAAGCAGATGTCTAAAAATGATTCGAATCCTTGTCTGCATACAGTATTTATCCTTAGGATAAGGTTATCAAAGGAACTTCTACCAAAATTTAAGGCTGCTTTATATCAACTTAGAAACTATGTAGTATTACATATGCAAACTTTTGAAAAGAAACAATTGATGAACATATTGACCAGAACTCTTTAATGGCTTCTTTTGTGACAGTAGGAAAAGAAAAATGATTCTGTTTGTAAAGCCAAGGTAAATGTTATAGAGAATATAGTCTTCTCTAGTTTTAATTTGATCTTTTTATTCTCTCTGAAGACACAGCCATAAAGAATGTGGAAAACTTCAAAAGCACAATAGAAGCCCTCACACTGACACATGGAGACCTTTACAGCTTTCTGTTTACCAAGTGATTTTTTTTTTTAAAGCCTGAGATAACAAAATAGCAAGAGTGGAATTGGGAGGCAGCCTTCCATGTTGAAAGGCTAGAATAATATCTTAGGGCAGAGTGATTTCACACAAATAAATGTTTGTTTGGCACATAAAGGAAAGGGAGTGTGTTCTGATTTCATTCTGTTGTCAGTGTTTGATGTTTTAATCTTGTCACAGGCTTTGGATTAAAAACTTGTTACATCATCATCATACTCTAAGACATTTTTAGGGATAAGCAGAGCAAATCCAGTAGATTTATGTAGCTCTTTCCTGGTCTGGATGGAGCAGTGGTCAAGTTTTTATTTCCATAAAGGATTTGTCAAAAGCACCAAATACAAGGATAATGTTTGCTTACGTTTATTTTCTCCTCCCCTTGTTTTTCTAGGATTATGACAGTTTTTTTGAATCAAAGGAAAGCAACACAGTCTTTTCATTCTTAGGCCTGAAATCACGTTTGGCATCAAAGGTAGGTAAATCTTTTCTTGTTTTAAAATTCATCTTTCTTGAATTGTTCTTAATTGTTCTCAATTGAGATTGAAGGAGTTAAGAGGAATGCACATATAGCCTCCTGCATATTTAGCTTTTACTTTTTCAAAGGCACAATTAGAGACTGCCCTGTGTAAAAACATAAACAGAAGCTGTCTTCTAGAAAGTTTTCAATTGTTGCTGTATTAGACTTTATTTTTATTTATAATTTATATCTCCTTCCGAGAAGAATTTAAGGTAGCAAAAAGTAGTAGTGTTTTTTCTGTTTTAAAGTGCAAGTTTACATTACTTTATGTTTTGTGAAATAGCAGCATTAATGCCATATTTTAAGGCCTTTTGCATGTTGAAGTCATTTGTTTTGGAAGAGAGATGGTCTGCAATATCAAATGGTCAACCTTCAAAAAAATACAATTCCTAAACTAATCAAAATGTTTTTAAAGCTAGTTTATTATGTCATTGTCTTTTAAAGAGAATATAAACGGCTCAAACTTTTCTAATGTTTAGACCTGGAAATGACATATATTATCGCAACTTTGTGAAGCACGTGAATATACTTTCAAAATAAAAAATACCATTTTTTTTAATTATATAAGGTATTGTTTTGATTATTTCCCCCTTTTTTATTTTTTTTTAAAGATTTTTTTTATTGGGGAATTGGGGGATGGGAACAATGCTCAGGAATTGGGGGAAGGGGAACAGACACATTGCTGTCATTTTGTTCTTCAGTCTAGTTGTGGAGGACGTTGCTTCACTGGCCCAAAGTTGGCACCATCATTGCGCTCTTCCCGGGCGAGGCAGATCAATCGCCGGCTTCTGAACGGCCGCTCACTGTGGCTGCTGGCCGCTCACGCTGGCTGCTGGCTACATACGGTAGCCCATGGCAATCCACTGCCACAGGGGCTGCAGCCTACAGTCGTCGTTGGTGACTCACTGCAGCTCAGCTCCAGGTTGAGCTGTTGTTCAGCATCTTAGCTGTGGAGGGCAGTGTCACTGGCCCTCACATGTGGGATCTGAACCGGGGCCCTCTGGCGTCCCAAGCTAGTTCTTAACCATCGCACCACTCGGCCGGCCCTATTTCCCCCTTTTAAAAAACACTTTTTTTTTTTTGTTTATGAAAGTCTAGGCTCATTTAGAAAAATTGGGAAAATACAAAGAAAGTGTAAAGTAGAAAATAAAAATCGCCTGTTATCCAACACCCAGAGATAACCACATTAACATGTTTGGTGTACATAGCAATTGAGGTTTTGACTGTTTTTCACATTGAGAATGAATTCTGCAGTGTCTATTTTTAACACTGAAATGAAATGAAAGTACATTGCTGGGAACTTTGATGTCTGTAAGTAGGTCTTTTGAGGCTACCCAGGATTTGTACCATTTCTGGAATACCTGTGGGAGGAAGGGAGTGACTATCAGTAATGTAAATTATACTCCAGCACCTGTGTAGTTCATAGCTGATGTGGAATCTTGCTTTGTTTTTACTTCAGTGAGTCCACAGATGGTTGTGGGTGGTTTCCATTCACGTTTTAAACAGAGGGAAAACCCACACATATCATATTAAAAGGTTCTTAAAACTATTTTTATAAAGATGGAACATTGGAGTACTGGTTAGGAAAATTATAGTATTTTTATAACACGTTTCATCCAAAGATATTAAATAATCTAGATTTATCTTCAAAGAACTGGAAAAAAACTGAGGTAGAAGTAATCCAATAGATGCATAAATCCAGTGGACATCATTATCTATGCAAAAGCCTTTAAAAAAAATACCACATGCTTGCTTTCTGTACTTTCATTTTTCCCTAAGATAAAGATTCCTTAGAGACACTGTTGGCTGAGACTTTTATTCTTCAAAAATATCTATTCTCTCAGGAATTCCTCAGGAAACCTATAATCTATAAAATATGCATTATCACGTGACTTATGGTTATAATATTAAAGTTGGTCTTGATGCCATTGACGTTTACTTGATGTCAGCAGACCATTCCAAAGGCACTTAGGACTCTGGGCATCCTTACCCATTCAGCCCATCGTTTGCAGGTACCTGAGGCAGCCATACCTGAGCAGGAGCACACGGAACCAGAGTGGAAACCTGTGGTGCAGTGCTTGTGCCACCCTCTCTCATGAACCAGTTGGGGCCTTAAGGGTTAATAGTAACTCATATTTCATCTTCATAGGAGAGAAATAAAATTATCTAAGAGAGCGATTCAGCATTTTCCCCATTTATAGTTATTTGTTTTTTATCTTGGTGGTGAGTCATTATATGATCTATGCTCTAAGACCTAGACACAGCATCCACAGGTGTAATGTACCACAAGATGGACACCCCCTTTTCTTGTCTCCTTTCCTACCCTCTCTACAGTACACACACATAAAAGACAGGACTAGGAAGCCTGCCAGGGAACATACAAAGACAACATTAGTGCCTGTAACTGCTCTTACGCCATGAGGAGCAAGAAAAGAAATGGTAGGAAAAGAACGTTCATGGACCCGAAAGGCACAGGTGCCGTGTAGACCCTGGACACTACTCCAAAGCAGACAGTACTGAGGAAGGTGGGAAGTCACAAAATGGTGGCCTGAAGGCCACATGGACTCTGGATGTGTTTGTCCTGCACAGGATTTTTAAAAGAATTTAAATGGGTTGCTAATATTTAAAATACAGATTTCCCACTTGCCTGGAAAAGTTGGAAGATAAGGAAACTGGGGGAGCCCACTTTCTCTTACGGCTGGCTGGAGCCAGCAGTGGCTGGTCCACCATGGTGCCTATCTAAGAGAAAAGGAGGCCTTTTACCAATAATTTTCAGATAGAAAACTATCGAGTTTGTTATTTGAAGAGACTCAAAGTGGGACCGGAATTAGATGTTTCTGCTTTTGGACCCCTGCTATTCAGGGGTGATATTTAAAATATGCAACAACTGGTAAGCCCTGGGCACTGACCAGCCGGAGATGGAGAGGGGCTTAGAGGCTCCCCTACGCCAGCTGTCTGTGTAGTGGTTGAACCATGGAGCCATCCTGCAGAGAGGGGCCAGGGTGACACTTGGAGGGTTGGAGAAGCAGGTATTTACCAGTAGGAATGGCCATACGAGTGCTGTCCTTCACCTCGGGTCGCACTCTACAGGCCCCCTCAACCGGGTGCAGGTAGAACAGTACCTCTGAGAGGAATCTCGGCAGTTGTTGAAAACATGTGGCTTTCTTCCCACCTTTACATTTGGCAGGTCAGGTGTGTAATTTAAATCTGAGCTCTGATCTCGAAACCAGGATTTGTTCTTATCAGTCACATGGCGGTTAGCATGATTCCCAACATCTCTGTTCCTGACATTTACAATATCACTGCCAGGGTGAATTTGCTTGTCAGTACAGGGAAATAACGGACTTTTTTTTCTTTTTTAATAAATAGGCAGAACCTTAGGGAAGACGAGTGGAAGGTGACGGAGATGCATTTTGGAGCGCCCCCTGGTACTCAGCACACACCTGCTTACCTAATGCATCACTGTGACAAAAGCCACGTGCATCATCAGTAACTTTGCTTGCATTGGAAAAGGTGTTTTTGGAAGACGTGGGTATAATGGGGGGATTGCATGATTGCTTTAAACCAAATCAGAACTGTGGTGGGTTTTTTCTTATTTTCGGAATTGCCTGCAGTTGCCTCACTCACCTGGAGGTGGTGTAACCTGTTACAGGTGTGCTTCCTTAATGACTGAAAAATAAGTGGGTAGCGCCATCAGAGACAAAATGTTGAGTCTGCCCTAGGTTGTAGTTGGTGCCAGTATTGCTCAGACCTGCTTCTCTTTAAGCTGCCTAGATTGTATCCTTAAACTTAGTCTGCCAGGCTGTTAGAATGTTTTGATCAGAAAGAAAAAAAAAAAAGAAAGAAATGGCTGATTGACAAAGGGATGAAGATTTTTGCTGCAGAATCACAAATGTCACTATTCCAGTGCTTCATCATAACACCTATAGAAAAGGTTGGATGTTCTAGCCTCCTTTTGGTAATGTAAATTGTTACCCCCATAAACCCTCCAGGCTCCTACAGATGTTTCCAAAAGTCACTATTGCAACAATGTGTGATTAGAACCAAGTTACAGGGATGGAAGTTAATTGTTATTTTGGAAAATAAATGCTTCTTTATGTATTACAAGAGGAAAGTTTCAACTAAATGCATAAGACTGCTTAAAAGATATATTTTAAGAAGTGCACTAATTAGATAGTAAATTCATAGGAAAATTATCTGACCCATACATATCCAGAGGCATTTTAGCTCTAGCAACTCGTTATGCATAAGTGCACATATATTTTTAAATGCAGTTCCCCTAACTAATAGCTGCTTATTCTATTTTGTGAAGGGATTATATTTTTTTGAGAAAGGAAGATCTTGGTTAGACATATTTTGTGAACCCTTGATGAGGCATATTAAAAGATACTAATATTACTGTACAATTTTGTTTTCCTGTGTTACGGTTCATTGGTCCTCTTACTTTGCTGGTTCATATTTCTGGCCAATGCACAGATTTTTCAGAGTCATGTAGATACATGTTCTCATTCCATATATGAGCCCCGTAAGTTTTCAGAGCAGCATAGAGATTTTAGTTGCCAAACATGGGAACAGTTTTGAATAGGATAAACTATCAGAGGGCTGCCTAAAATATTCTGCGATCCTCAGCATCCCGATGCTGGACCTGCTGTTGAGATTCTGAGCAGGAAGTTTGTAAGAAATGTAAAAAACAGAAGAATTAAAGCCCTGTCACATGGGTCCTCTCACCCTCCAACTTGCTAAATGTGGACTATTCTAAAGAACTCTTTAGAATGAATGCTAAAACTGAAATCCCAGCCTGAGATTTGCAGTCCAGGACTACAACCGGAAGAAAAGCCACAGACTTCTAACTGACTGGAACAGATACACGCTCCACAATTTTCTCGCCAAGGAAAGCTATTATGAAATCATGGGTATTACTGCTTAGTTGGCATTAAGTAATATGCAAGTCACATTGCATTAGATAAATCCCAGGGACTATCCAGGAATATTTTTTTTTCCTAAACTGGATATTGTGTTTGAGTATGTGTGTCTTCTGATAAGACTTAGAGTTTCTTTTTAAGATACAACAATTTAAAAGTTTAATATTATAATCTAACTTATATTTAGTCTACTCTTGCCAGTGGGCACCAAGGACAAACTTGGAAAGATAGAGGCTTTGCAAGATAAATTCTGGGGTGGTAGGATCCACACCATTCTTGCTAGACAAAGAAAGCAACTCGGATTTGTCTGAAAACTTTTGAATTACTATGGTTATAGGCGGCCCAGTATGATTCTCCTAAACTGACTAAATAGGAGTGCTCACTTACGTAACAGTTACACATCATCTCCGCCCAGCCCCACTTTTTTTTGTTTGTATGTTTTTGATCAGCACAACCAAATGGTGCCGGACTCGCTATGAGTGACCTAGAAGCACAGGGTGTGTGGCATTAACGTGGTGCCTGGGGTCTGCAGAGTACTGAGGGATTGCCCTCTGGGACCACACTGTGTTCGGAGAATATTTTGTCCTTGCTTATACTATTTTGCCAGCTGAGTTCCAAACATGTAATGACTTTCTTATTCCCTTTAACTAGCTGCCTTTAGACGGGGATAATCACAGTCTTCAAAGCCTAGGAAAGAAGTGAATGGGAATTGCAGGCACAAATATAATATCAAAGGGCATTTCAAGACAGAATTTTTATTTCCTGTAGTAGGCTTGTTGTGGCAAAGGAAATGTGCTGCTAAAAATCAAAGTATGCCATTTTCAAATTGGATAAAATACAGAGTGCCATCCTGCTAGGTATATGCAGACCAAGAGGAAATTTAGTTGGGGAAATAATTGTTTTTCCAAATTCTGGTGTTCTCTTAAAATCAAAGAGGAGAAAAGGAAGATTTTTTTTTCTCTCAGACCTTAATATATTTTAGATTTGTTTCTTTTTTATAGATTTATTCAATACCTGCATATGGATGTTTTTATATTACATGAATTCAATAATGAACTAAACTTATTTTTGTCCTTTGTTATTGAAAGGTACCAAAGCCTCTTTCTGTTTTGTTTGTTTTGTTCTGTTTTGTTTCATTTGATTTTGCTACATAGGGTTTTGCTTTTTCTAGAAATGCTTTTCATTTAACAGCTTTTCTTAAGTATCAGGGCCCACTTTGATCTGCATAATTATTGTTTTTAGATTTCAGTTTGTATGCATTTGTCTCTAAGGGCATTGGTGAAATCTCAGATTTTATATTCATTAAAGAGGAATAAATTCCAGAAAACGCATTCTGAAAATGGAGTGTTTGTTCCCTACCATGTCTTATACCTTTTCTAATTTTAGTTCTGTGTTTAGTTGAAACCTTCCTGTTTAGTTGGGATACTGT